TGTTTCACTAACAAACCACCAGTGGACTCTGCAACTGTACGAAGAAGACACATAAATGAAAGTACGAGTGAACTATTTATGGGAATGATAAACTTTGAGAATGCATCGTATTCTACTGTAGATGAACTGTTAAACTCTGTCACCTCTAGTGTTTTGAATGTTCTGGATACCGTTGCCCCTGTGAAGGTTAAAATAGTGAAAAATAAGCAGAAGGCGCCGTGGGCTAAAGCAGACTCTGTCAGGGCACAAAAGAGAAAGTGCCGGAGGGCCGAGCGGAAGTGGCGCAAGTCCAACCTCCAGGTTGATTACGAGATCTTCAAAGATAAGTTGTGCGAGTTTAACCAGGTGCTACGTAGTACGAGAGAAAGGTATTTTTCTGAAATGATTGAAGGCTGCAGCAACAATCTGCGTGTTCTGTTCTCAACAGTTAATAGATTAACACAGTGGTTCCCAAAGTGGGGGTCCCAACCCCCGGGGGGTCGCGTGAACCCCTGGGGGGGTCGCAAGATGATTTCCACACACACACAAAAAAGCATTTGATTTGATTCAAAAGGACTACTTGTTAAATTGTGTTTGGAGACTATAATATATTTTAATAACGTTAGTAATTTTGTCCCAGTCATTGCAGCGTCAATCAAAATCATCACGTAACACAGCTCACATCATGCGCAGCGACAAAGCGTGTCCTGCTGTTGTTTGCTAAAACTAAAGGTGTTTGGAGGCTACAAATAAATAATACCTGCTTTAAAATGAAACGTGGTTAATATCCACAGAAAAACCCGGAGGGATAGAAAAGTCACTTGTATCAGGGGTCAGGCTGATGGTGCGAAGAGAGGGAGAGAGGGCAAAGGAGGGAGAGAGGGAGGGAGGGCAGCGGAGGGAGAGAGGGCAGCGGAGGGAGGGAGGGCAGCGGAGGGAGAGAGGGCAGCGGAGGGAGGGAGGACAGCGGAGGGAGGGAGGGCAGCGGTAGAACAGCGCGTTAAAGAGGCCCGGCTTTTCGGAGTCAAAGGTAAAGAGGTCCGCACATTAAAAGCGGGTGGCCGGTTTATGCGTTTACTGACAGTAACTTTGGAAAGAGAAGCCGCGGGGATGAAGCGCATAAAGTAACAGCAGAAAGCGGCCGCCCGCTTTTAATGTGCGGACCTCTTTGCCGCTGACTCCGGAAAGCCGGCCCACTTTACCGCGGTAGGAGAACAGTGAGGGCGAGCCGCAAGAAATGCGCTCCACTTCTGCTGAGGAGGGAGTCCACCAAGCCCATCACTGTGTCACTACATGAGTAAAAATATGCAAGCCTCCATTTTTGGGCTGGACAGTGCAGCTCAGTAGTGGCGTGAGTCTCTAGAAAGCGTTACTCCGTATCAAGGAAATACATGCTCATTTCATGTGACGGAAGGGTTGTTGGGGGGGGCGGGGGTCGCAGGTTAGCAGGGCATTTATGATGGGGGTCGCGGGCTAAAAACTTTGGGAACCCCTGGATTAACAAACCCCCCTGTTCAGATGCCATTAGAGCTTACTTCCAAACGTAAATGCAATGAGTTTGCTAATTTTTTCAATGACAAGGTTCAAGGCATCAAAAATGCCATTGTCTCCAATCCACAGAACCATCCAACAGCCTAAAAGGCTCTTTGAGCTAACTCACTTTGCACCTGTAAATGATAAAAATGTCCAAGAGATAATCTCCAGTCTGAGCTCCTCCACATGCAGCTTGGTTGTACTACCCACTAGATTTCTGAAGTCTGTTCTGAGCAGTCTGTTACCTTCACTCACACAGATAGTAAACATGTCCCTTCATTCTGGAATATTCCCAAAGAACCTGAAAACTGCAGTCATCAGGCCCCTGCTAAAAAAGAGCAGTCTCGATGCTACGGTACTTAACAACTACCGTCCCATCTCAAATCTGCCATTTATGGGGAAAGTCCTTGAGAAAGTTGTCTACCTACAGCTTACTAGATTTCTTATAATCAACAACTCATTTGATATGTTTCAGTCCGGCTTTAGACCCCACCACAGCACTGAGACGGCTCTCGTTAAGGTTACAAACGATATCCGGCTGAACACTGACGCAGGCCAAGTCTCAATCTTAATCTTGTTAGATCTAAGTGCTGCCTTTGACACTGTCGACCATGAGATCCTCTTACAGAGACTAGAGGACTGGGTTGGTGTCACTGGCACCGCCCTAAGTTGGTTTAGGTCTTACCTTGAGGACAGGAAGTACTTTGTGGAGATTGGAAACTGTGTCTCAGATCATATGGCCCTGACCTGTGGAGTGCCACAAGGGTCGATCCTGGGACCTCTTCTGTTCAATCTCTACATGCTGCCGTTAGGTCAGTTAATACGCAGAAATGAAGTTTCCTATCACAACTATGCAGACGACACTCAGATCTATGTCTCACTGACTGCAGGAGAACATGGACCAGTGGACTCACTCCTTCACTGTATCCAACAGATCAGTGAGTGGATGCAAAACAACTTCCTTCAGCTAAACGCAGACAAAACTGAAATGATTTTCTTTGGTCCCCAGAAACAAAGAGAGAGCATCATCTGTCACCTACAGTCTCTCTCCCTAAAACCTTCAAACAATGTCAGAAATCTAGGGGTAATACTGGACTCAGACTTAAATTTTAATAGCCACATCAAATCAGTAACATCAGCAGCTTTTTACCATCTAAAAAACATTGCCAGGATCAAAAACATAGTGTCTAAAGCAGACTTGGAGATTCTTATCCATGCATTTGTCTCCAGTAGGTTAGACTACTGCAATGGCCTGCTCACAGGTCTGTCCAAACAGGCTGTAAAACAGCTGCAGTACATTCAAAATGCAGCAGCTCGAGTCCTGACTAGAACCAGGAAGTACGACCATATTAGTCCGGTCCTCAGGTCTCTGCACTGGCTTCCTGTGGCTCAGAGAATAGACTTTAAAACAGCTCTGCTTGTGTACAAGTCTCTCCATGGCCTCGCACCAAAATATATTAGTGACATGTTAGTCCCATATGAACCAGCCCGGACTCTGAGGAGCACAGGGACTGGACTCCTGTTAGTGCCCAGAGTCAGAACTAAACATGGGGAGGCTGCTTTTCAGATTCATGCTGCTAAAATCTGGAACAGTCTTCCTGAAGATGTGAGACAGGCCTCCTCTCTGACAATGTTTAAAACCAGGTTAAAGACAGTTTTGTTTAGCTGTGCATACAACTGAGGGATTTTATATTTTTATCTTTCTTTTTAATGTTCTGTGATAATTTATGATTTTAATGCTTTCTTGTTTTGTTCAGCACTTTGAATTGCCTTGTGTATGAATTGTGCTATACAAATAAACTTGCCTTGCCTTGCCTAGAGTAGAGTAGAGTAGAATAGAGTGGGTAGAGTAGAGTAGAGTTGAGTGGGGTAGAGTAGAGTAGAGTGGGTAGAGTAGAGTAGAGTAAGGCAAGGCAAGTTTATTTATATAGCACAATTCATACACAAGGCAACTCAAAGTGCTGAACAAAATAAGAAAGCATTAAAATCATACATAATCACAGAACATTAACAAGAAATCTAAAAATAGAGTAGAGTTGAGTAGAGTAGAGTAGAGTGGGGTAGAGTAGAGTAGAGTAGAGTGGGGTAGAATAGACTTGAATAGAATAAAGTAGAAAAAGCCGCAGTCTCGAGCATTGAAGAGTCAGGTTCAGTTTGCAGTAAAACCACAGTGGAATAAACATGCAAAGACACGTTACTGCTGCAGTCTCTCTGTTCAAACGACTTCTTATGCTGCGTTCAGACCGGATCATGCTGCGTCGGCTTTCAATGCAAAGTCAATGGTGACGCGTGTTCCGAAAATACTGTAAACAGCCAAAACAGGAGCTACACCAGGACTAACCCAGGACTAAACCAGGACTAAACCAGGGTTGACAATGGGGACATAGTGCTTGTTAACATGTGAGTTTTCATGCTCCCGTGACTTTATGCAACTGCTTTGAGTGAGTTCGCCGATGCAGAAGTACCGTTTAATAATAAAATAAACATATTGCGCACCTCCGTGAACACATACTACTGTTATCTGAGGTACACAAGAAGCCGCTAGCTAAACTCTGTTAGCATCAGAGCCCGCCAGGATGTTCTGGTGTGAAGAGCCCTGCGTCTGAAAACTAGAGAACGTGCGTTTCAGCGTTGGCGGTCTGAAAGCACCATCGGTCTTACATCACGGCTGCCCCTCGTTGTGGAGTCGCCCCCGTTGTGTGTCTGCGTGTGATTGTGGTGTGATTGTGGTGTGGTGTGTAGCAGGTGTGCGCTCCGATAAGCACCACTGCCTTTGTGTGTTTGTCTCCGTGGATGTATCTGATTAAAAAGGGCTCATGGTTCTCGTCGTCAAACACGCTACATAACCACGGCTAACATTTGTCTTCCATAAAACGCACATGAGAGAGTTCAGCCCGGGGCCACTCTGCTTTTCTTTTTTTCATTCTTATAATTATGGATAATGTGAATAATACTGGATACATGTTGTTTTATTATTATGCAAGTTTATTTGTATAGCACAGTTCAGACACATGACAACTCAAAACACAAAACACTTTAAATTCATTGATAATAAAACATTAATAATTGTAAATAACTGTAGTTTCCTCACTGTGGTCATAATAAAGGCATTTGTGAATTCATTTATACCTTTTTTGGGTTAATTAGTATATTTATATTTTGTGTTTTAACTGTTGATTCTCTGATCTGTGTTGGTGATTTCAATGGTTTTGTTAAGTCTCTAAGATGACTTCTGTTGTGAAAGAATGTGTAAACAAGAATGCATTGAATTGAATACATTATGGTTAATTAGCTCTTGATTGGTATTTATTAAGCTCGTTAGTCCTTATCCTACATGGCTTTATTCAACATATTCATTCACTGACCCTTTTCCATGTGGGTTAGTGTCAGAGTTAGAGTTAGGCTCAGGGTTAGAGTTAAGGTTAGGCTCAGGGTTAGAGTTAAGGTTAGGCTCAGAGTTAGAGTTAGGCTCAGGGTTAGAGTTAAGGTTAGGACGTATGACGGACGTATGAGGGACGTATGACGGACGTATGAGGGATGTATGAGGGACGTATGACGGACGTGTGACGGACGTATGAGGGACGTATGACAGACGTATGACGGACGTATGACGGACGTATGACGGACGTATGAGGGACGTATGACGGACGTATGAGGGACGTATGACAGACGTATGACGGACTTATGACGGACGTGTGACAGACGTATGAGGGATGTATGAGGGACGTATGACGGACGTATGACAGACGTATGACGGACGTGTGACGGACGTATGAGGGAGGTATGACGGACGTATGAGGGAGGTATGAGGGACGTATGACAGACGTATGACGGACGTATGACGGACGTATGACGGACGTGTGACGGACGTATGAGGGACGTGTGACGGACGTATGACGGACGTGTGACGGACGTATGAGGGATGTATGAGGGACGTATGAGGGACGTATGACAGACGTATGACGGACGTATGACGGACGTGTGACGGACGTATGAGGGACGTATGACGGACGTGTGACGGACGTATGACGGACGTATGACGGACGTATGACGGACGTATGATGGACGTATGACGGACGTATGACGGACGTGTGACGGACAGATGACGGACAGATGACGGACGTATGACGGACGTATGACGGACGTATGACGGACGTCTGGCCAAACCAGCGCACAGAGACCATGAAGACAAACACATGTGATATGTGTTGCTCTACATCCGTCCTCAGGCCCGTACTGTCCTCTACACTGCTCCATAGACTACACAGGTTGCAGACCTGCGCACGGCCAGTGGACATAAAGTAATGTAACACATATATGCGCACAGTCCGAGTTAGAGTTAGGGTTAGAGGGTTAGAGTTAGGGTTAGAGTTAACGTTAGGCTCAGGGTTAGAGTTAGGGTTAGAGTTAGGGTTAGAGGGTTAAAGTTAGGGTTAGAGTTAAGGTTAGGCTCAGGGTTAGAGTTAGGGTTAGAGTTAGAGTTAGGGTTAGGCTCAGGGTTAAAGTTAGGGTTAGGCTCAGGGTTAGAGTTAAGGTTAGGCTCAGGGTTAGTTAGGGTTAGAGTTAGAGTTAGGGTTAGGCTCAGGGTTAGAGTTAGGGATAGAGTTAGGGTTAGGCTCAGGGTTAGAGTTAAGGTTAGGCTCAGGGTTAGAGTTAGGGTTAGAGTTAAGGTTAGGCTCAGGGTTAGAGTTAGGGTTAGAGTTAAGGTTAGGCTCAGGGTTAGAGTTAGGGTTAGAGTTAGAGTTAGGGTTAGGCTCAGGGTTAGAGTTAAGGTTAGGCTCAGGGTTAGAGTTAGGGTTAGAGTTAAGGTTAGGCTCAGGGTTAGAGTTAAGGTTAGGCTCAGGGTTAGTTAGGGTTAGTTAGGGTTAGAGTTAAGGTTAGGCTCAGGGTTAGAGTTAGGGTTAGAGTTAGGGTTAGGCTCAGGGTTAGAGTTAAGGTTAGGCTCAGGGTTAGAGTTAGGGTTAGAGTTAAGGTTAGGCTCAGGGTTAGAGTTAAGGTTAGGCTCAGGGTTAGTTAGGGTTAGAGTTAGAGTTAAGGTTAGGCTCAGGGTTAGTTAGGGTTAGAGTTAGGGTTAGGCTCAGGGTTAGAGTTAGGGTTAGAGTTAGGGTTAGGCTCAGGGTTAGAGTTAAGGTTAGGCTCAGGGTTAGAGTTAGGGTTAGAGTTAAGGTTAGGCTCAGGGTTAGAGTTAGGGTTAGAGTTAGGGTTAGGCTCAGGGTTAGAGTTAAGGTTAGGCTCAGGGTTAGAGTTAGGGTTAGAGTTAAGGTTAGGCTCAGGGTTAGAGTTAGGGTTGGCATACATTAATCAGCACTTATTTTCCTGCGGGCTAATCTTTTCAGTGGTTTCTTGCCGATGCAGGAGGGTCTATGGGCAGTGATCCAGGCCATTATTAAAGGTATATACAACATTTTAGGAAAAAAACATCCTCCGAGGGAACATCTATTAAAGCGTGTCTCGTATATCACCGGAATGATTGACAGCTAGAAGGACTAGTAGTGTAGATGATCCACTCAAAGATGTACCTTCAACATTTATTAACATTCCCGGTAGTGATCGTCCCGCTTCCTACGAACCAATTGCGTTGTTGTGTTTGTTATTATGGCATTTGCTGTGATCGAACTCTTCGATTCTCTGATCTGTTGTTGAGGAATTCAGAATATTTTTAAGTCCATCGAGATGACTGCTGTTGTAATTTAGGGCGATACACAAATACAACTGAACTAGAGGCTCTCCTCAGGGAGCTGTCCTGTCTCCTGTTTACTGTCCCTCTGCTCTACATGAACTGTATGTTACTCAAGCACGGTCTGGGTTTTATATTTTCACATTCGTTCATAGGTAAATGTTGTAACTTCCCAAACCCATGTATTACATCACTGCTCGAATCCAACTCACACAGATTTCCAGAAGTTTGTCGAGGGGAATTTGTGATCTTTCCTCGGGACGCGTAGATTAGGATGAAGACAGAAGGATATTAATCTTTATAAATTTGGACGTCTGCAGAGAGAGAAAAATGTGTTTGTTCTGAACAGCAGCGTCAGACTTTCCTGGACTCAAACAGAGACGTCTCAAATATCAGGAGGAGATTCTGATTCAGTGGATCAAAAGAACACGCAGCGTAATCAGAAAATCAACAGAAAGAAGTTGGGATCAATGAGGTTCAAGATCAGGCATTTATTATTGATTTAAAAGGACAGAATGTGCTCTCAGAAGTCTGATCAAGTCTTCATTCTGTGACACGTGCCGCAAGACAACCCTAAAGCCAGTCCCTGTACGACCAGACAATCAAGGTCTACGTCAGGAAACCTTTGAGGGTGCATCATTGTGACATCATTATAAAACACAAACTTTTTACATTTGAACATTTTGTAAGCTTTTGCACACTGAAATTGTTTTTTAAAAGTTTAACCGATCATGTTCCACCCATAGACTGTATAAATTAACGGACGTACTCACGCCTATCTCCGCCGTTCTAACTAATGGGCCAAAAATTGGGCTTTCATGGAGTGATTCAAAATGGTCGAGGGGGCTGGAAAATGTGAAAAAATGCATCTGCGTCAGCTGCACGAGCCCCATTCATTGAACAAATGCCTTCAAAATTTTACAGCGAGTAAACCAGACTGGTCCAGAACACTCCCTTCAGCATTGACACACATGTGGAACGGAGCTTTGGACCAAGAACCACTTTAGGACCATCCTGTAAAGGTGTTTTCGAGAGGTAACAAGATGCTATATGTTAGCATTGGCTAATTCTTCTTCTGGGTCCACCCCCACAGGCCCGGGGTGGTATTGCAGTGGTCAGCGCACCTCATTTTGGACACTTTTGAGCCGGGACCCGCCCACACTGGTTCCACCGCTGTTCTCTGGTCTGTCAGACGTCAAGGCTCTCGAAGGCCTAACACCAGAGCCTGGGTCAGTGGGGACTGTCTGGTTCAGAACATCGTTGGGTCAGTCCAGCTTTTCCTTTGATGGAGCCAAACTGCGGAACGCTCTTCCCACTGACCTAAAACTACAAACAGACTTGAATATCTTCGTCTGAAACTGTGGCTGAAATCGGAGCAACGCTGTTCACATGATTAATGAACTGTATATTTAATTACTTTTATATTTGTACATTTTAAACGTGTGTATTTGTGTCCTAAAAGCCTTCTGTGGACAAGTGTTGAACATTAGCCTGGTCTTGCTATAACACTAAAGGGCAGTGCATCTGGTCTGTCCAATGTGACTGTTGTGTCTATATCAAATAAATTAATAAATATATAAAAATACTCATTCTATTGATTATATTCTTGTCAGCCCTAAATCACAGCAGTGGTTATGCCTGAGCTGTCGATTCACCAACACAGATCAGAGAATCAAACCGTTCAAAACACAGGAAATGCCATAATAACACATCCATAAATGTTCATTAATATAGTTGAATGTGCAGTGTCCGGGAACAAAGACACGGGAAGTTTCAGGTTAGCCTCCGCCGCTTGTTTACCTCAGCTGTCTGTGCTAACCGCAGACCTGTCTGTGCTAACCGCAGACCTGTCTGTGCTAACCGCAGACCTGTCTGTGCTAACCGCAGACCTGTCTGTGCTAACCGCAGACCTGTGGCTTTTCTCAAGAAAGTGGGGGCCAGTGGTCCGCTGTGATTGGTCACAATCTGGACCCGAAACACATTCTCTTCCTTGTTTCACAAAAACTCAATCTGAAATAAAATGACACTTCAGCACAAACCTGCACTACTTATTCTTCAAAAGAACGTTCATCCCAATGCACTGCATGGTATGGATTGGATTTAACTAATGAATACAGAAAATCATATTAATAGGCATTTATTAAGCACTTATTCTACATGTTTTTAATCTGACAAACTTCTCACTGACACTTTCTCCTGTGGGTCGAGTTAGCGTGCACTAAACAGAACTTTGTTAGCTAGCTTGGTAGTTCGCCAAAGGAATTAGAATTTAACAAATTCACTTAAACGAACACTTTTTGACCCATTACATATCTATTAAAAGTATAAATATAGGATTTTACATTATTATGGTGTATTTTATGTGTTCTCCAAGTTTGGTCGTAATTATTAGATACATTTTTATTACGACTGCAAAAAGGAGTAGCTCTCTGCCTGTTTGTTTGTATAAAAGTAGCTCTCTGATTAAAAAAGGTTGTAGACCCCTGATCCAAAGTGTTTAAAGGAGAGGTAGAAGCAAAACATTTACACTATGTCCTACCCCTTTTTACAATTTGTTTCACATTTAAAAACATTGAAGCGGTTTGGGGCCAGAAGTATAAAAGTCTTTTGACAAATGAATCGTATTTGACGTGAGTTTGGATATTATTTTACAGTCGGTTTGGATTAAACCTTAACTATTTCTTCCAGTGCATTGTTGTTCACATTTTTGAACAGATAGATGTAATTTAGAATGAATAAACATGTACTGTCCCTTTGAACCACAGAAGTTTTAGTCCGTATTTAGTGCTGAGGTAATGCTGTACTGTAAATGGTTTCATTATTACATGATTCTAATTAAAACCTTTCAAAAGCCGCTTCTACAGAGTATATATGAAAATGTCCCTGCAGTGGGGAGAGTAAAGGATCTCTAAATCTTAATCTTACTTTGAAATTGTGAAGATGCTGCTCAGTCCCTGCTCTCTCCTGCTCAAAGATCGGGCACTTGATTTTAATCTGTGAAAGGAAGAAGCAGACATTTAAATATACTCATTAGCATACTCATTAGCATACTCATTAGCATGTCATTATAACTACTCATGTTTTCGGCCCGACTCTAAGGCCGTGGTGTGGAACTCAATTTGGTCTGGGGCTGAATAAAAGTATTTTTCTTGGTGGAAAGTTTAGGATTATGAAGGAAGTTCTGACCCTCTTTAATGTCTGAAAGTTATTAGGGAAGCATTTGGATTGGGTTTCCTCTGCGGAGTCACAGGGACCGGGAAAACTTTACGCACCAGGACCAGGACTAAATTCCTGTTTCCACCAGCCCAACTCTACTCTGGTCCTGGTCCTGGTCCTGTCCAACCAGTACCAGGTCCTTCTTTTGTCCCTCTTGGTCCTGGTTCTATCCAGACTGACACGAGTACGAAAGGGATCTAACTGACAGTGACTGGTCTCTCTCTGCTCTCTCTCTGGTCTCACTCTGGTCTCTCTTTGGTCTCATTCTGGTCACTCTTTGGTCTTATTCTGGTCTCTCTTTTGTCTCTCTCTGGACTCTCTCTGGTCTCTCTCTGGACTCTCTCTGGTCTCTCTCTGGTCTCTCTCTGGTCTCATTCTGGTCTCTCTTTGGTCTCATTCTGGACTCTCTCTGGACTCTCTCTGGTCCCTCTCTGGTCCCTCTCTGGTCTCTCTCCGCTCTCTCTCTGGTCCCTCTCTGGTCTCTCTCCGCTCTCTCTCTGGTCTCTCTCTGGTCTCATTCTGGTCTCTCTTTGGTCTCATTCTGGACTCTCTCTGGACTCTCTCTGGTCCCTCTCTGGTCTCTCTCCGCTCTCTCTCTGGTCTCTCTCTCCGCTCTTGCTTATTGTCAATACAGATGAAATTCTTTAACGGCATTAATCTGTGTTTGCAAAAGGCGTTGAGCAGGGCAGATCCTGGTGAGTGTGTGATGGGAGACCTCTGGGAGACCTCTATATAAGTGCTGTTGTCGTTTCCGTCCCAGACTCCCGTGTCTGTGTGATCTCCTGTGCTTTAATGTACTTATTGACGCCCGTAATGTGTTTGCATTGGATTTTCTGCCATCGACCCAGAAACAGATTGAACACAGAGAAGAGTTCATCAAAGTTGTCTTCAGTGGATTGAAATTGACTTGTGTCCAGACGGAAACATTGACCTGTTTCTGTCTCTGCTGTTTTTCCACAACTGAAGCAAGAAGTCACTTTTAATTGTATCTATTTAACCAAGAAGGAATCTCTTTTTCAGGGGATTCTTGGCCCCAGAGAGACGGAGGGTGTCATGGTTTTTTTAATGGTAGGAGAAACCGGTAGCCTGACTCTGGCCAGACCCATGTAGTCCGCTGCACTTCACACATGAGTCTGGTACTGAGCCACTGTGGTTGGATTTTAGAAGGCGGGCCTTGTAAAAAAAAATCCTTGTATGTGATTGGATAGACCACTTGTCCGTTATCTTGAATGAAGTCTGCTTTCAACCCCTCACATCGAAGCACAAGGCTCCCATAGGTTGCCAAATCCCAGCAAGATTTTTCAACCCAAAATCCGTGAGAATACCCAAAAAAAGAAAACACTCAGTATTAGGGGTGCAACGGTTTGAAAAAATCACGGTTCGGTTCGTACCTCGGTTCAGAGGCCACGGTTCGGTTCATTTTTCGGTTCATTTTTCAAAAAAAAAGTTTTGTCTTTTTAATAAACACAGCTCATGTGGACTCGGCTTCTGCTCTGACTGCCCCCCCTGACCTAGAAATGAATTAAGGGGAAGGAAATGGATGGATGGATGGATGGCATATTCCATCCATCCAATTATGTAACATAACATAACATAATTAATGAAAAACAACACAAAGTGCAACATAAGAAGGCACTTTATGAGGATATTTACCCTCATATATTACACCACCTTCCTGATTCTCCCGAGGAGGCGCTCCATTCTGGGCCCAGCCTCATTCACTGCATTTATTTAATTTTTGGCATCATCAGTTGTGACTGGAATATTAGTACTGGGCCTTTGTCTTCCATTCCTCCGCTGCTTGTGTCAGTACCTGCGCTGTGTGACTTTGTGACTGTCGTAGAGGGGGCGTGTCTTCAGCCCCAGACTTTTCATCTCCCAGTCTGCGGTGATGAAGTGAGCGGTTCCGCTCATGGATCTATTATAGGTTCCGCGGGACGTCCGAGCGTCAGTCGTGAGCGCAGCTGAGGATGCGCGGGAGAGTTGACTTTAGCCCGGTCTGACTGTGCGTAAGGGAGCTGCTTAAACGCCGCGACAACAAGCGGTCATTGAGACGCTTTTTTTCACTCATGTCTTTCTTGTGCCACAGTGCTTACACATCGTGACAGTTTTGTCGAATATTAATTATCAGTGTAGTTACAGTGAAGCCAAAATGCTCTCATACTGGGGATTTAAATGACGCAGGGCTTTCAAGCATCTCCGTTCCTCCGCTCGCAATGACCGCGCTGTGTGTGGACTGAACAACGTGCGCACAACTTTTTTTTCATAAATCAAACCGCGGATCACGTCTGTACCGAACCGAAGACGTTGAACCGAACGGATCACGGATCAGTGATGAACCGTTGCACCTCTACTCAGTATGATTTTTAGGCTAAAAACGTAATATAATCAACTTGGGTTATCATGATTCTGTTTATTTAATACCTACAAGTCTCTTGGAAAAAAATATGAGGGAACCACCAAACCTGGCAACCCTGCTGCATAGTGTGTAAACAGGAACACTGAACCAGTGCTTCAACCAAACTTTACAGGAACATTTGACTCTTAAAACACACATATATCAACATAGAACCATCAACATCTCGCCTCAAATTGCATTAAAAGTGACATCCGTGTCTTAATTCGATCGTATATTTACTCTTTTAAAAAGAGTCGCGGACTTTACGTCCGCCATCTTGGATTCCTCTCGCTGCTGCATGAGAGAAGCTTGAGAAGGCAGTGCAAACCCCACGTAACACCGGCAATCCTGATTGGTTGATTAAATAATATCACAGTGCGTTAAAAAGAGTGAAACAAAACTGTTTTTAACCTGGATTTGAACATAGTTAGAGAAAAAGCCTGTCTCACATTTTCAGGAACACTGTTCCTGACTTTTTTTTTTGGAGCATCCTCAGAGTCCCAGCAGGAGGCCGGTGTTGTTCAGCTCCTTCCCCTCGATGGTTCACGGTGTCGTTCAGCTCCTTCCCCTCGATGGTTCACGGTGTCGTTCAGCTCCTTCCCCTCGATGGTTCACGGTGTCGTTCAGCTCCTTCCCCTCGATGGTTCACGGTGTCGTTCAGCTCCTTCCCCTCGATGGTTCACGGTGTCGTTCAGCTCCGTCCCCTCGATGGTTCACGGTGTCATTCAGCTCCTTCCCCTCGATGGTTCACGGTGTCGTTCAGCTCCTTCCCCTCGATGGTTCACGGTGTCATTCAGCTCCTTCCCCTCGATGGTTCACGGTGTCGTTCAGCTCCTTCCCCTCGATGGTTCACGGTATCATTCAGCTCCTTCCCCTCGATGGTTCACGGTGTCATTCAGCTCCTCCCCTCGATGGTTCACGGTGTCGTTCAGCTCCTTCCCCTCGATGGTTCACGGTGTCGTTCAGCTCCTTCCCCTCGATGGTTCACGGTGTCATTCAGCTCCTCCCCTCGATGGTTCACGGTGTCGTTCAGCTCCTTCCCCTCGATGGTTCACGGTGTCGTTCAGCTCCTTCCCCTCAATGGTTCACGGTGTCGTTCAGCTCCTTCCCCTCGATGGTTCACGGTGTCGTTCAGCTCCTTCCCCTCGATGGTTCACGGTGTCATTCAGCTCCTTCCCCTCGATGGTTCACGGTGTCGTTCAGATCCTTCCCCTCGATGGTTCACAGTGTCGTACAGCTCCTTCCCCTCGATGGTTCACGGTGTCGTACAGATCCTTCCCCTCGATGGTTCACAGTGTCGTTCAGCTCCTTCCCCTCGATGGTTCACGGTGTCGTTCAGCTCCTTCCCCTCGATGGTTCACGGTGTCTTTCAGCTCCTTCCCCTCGATGGTTCACGGTGTCGTTCAGCTCCTTCCCCTCAATGGTTCACGGTGGCATTCAGCTCCTTCCCCTCGATGGTTCACGGTGTCGTTCAGCTCCTTCCCTCGATGGTTCACGGTATCATTCAGCTCCTTCCCCTCGATGGTTCACGGTGTCATTCAGCTCCTCCCCTCGATGGTTCACGGTGTCGTTCAGCTCCTTCCCCTCGATGGTTCACGGTGTCGTTCAGCTCCTTCCCCTCGATGGTTCACGGTGTCGCTCAGCTCCTTCCCCTCGATGGTTCACGGTGTCGTACAGCTCCTTCCCCTCGATGGTTCACGGTGTCGTTCAGCTCCTTCCCCTCGATGGTTCACGGTGTCGTACAGCTCCTCCCCCTCCCCTCAATGGTTCACGGTGTCGTTCAGCTCCTTCCCCTCGATGGTTCACGGTGTCGTTCAGCTCCTCCCCTCGATGGTTCACGGTGTCATTCAGCTCCTTCCCCTCGATGGTTCACGGTGTCGTTCAGCTCCTTCCCCTCGATGGTTCACGGTGTCATTCAGCTCCTTCCCCTCGATGGTTCACGGTGTCGTTCAGCTCCTTCCCCTCGATGGTTCACGGTATCATTCAGCTCCTTCCCCTCGATGGTTCACGGTGTCATTCAGCTCCTCCCCTCGATGGTTCACGGTGTCGTTCAGCTCCTTCCCCTCGATGGTTCACGGTATCATTCAGCTCCTTCCCCTCGATGGTTCACGGTGTCATTCAGCTCCTCCCCTCGATGGTTCACGGTGTCGTTCAGCTCCTTCCCCTCGATGGTTCACGGTGTCGTTCAGCTCCTTCCCCTCGATGGTTCACGGTGTCATTCAGCTCCTCCCCTCGATGGTTCACGGTGTCGTTCAGCTCCTTCCCCTCGATGGTTCACGGTGTCGTTCAGCTCCTTCCCCTCAATGGTTCACGGTGTCGTTCAGCTCCTTCCCCTCGATGGTTCACGGTGTCGTTCAGCTCCTTCCCCTCGATGGTTCACGGTGTCATTCAGCTCCTTCCCCTCGATGGTTCACGGTGTCGTTCAGCTCCTTCCCCTCGATGGTTCACAGTGTCGTACAGCTCCTTCCCCTCGATGGTTCACGGTGTCGTACAGATCCTTCCCCTCGATGGTTCACAGTGTCGTTCAGCTCCTTCCCCTCGATGGTTCACGGTGTCGTTCAGCTCCTTCCCCTTGATGGTTCACGGTGTCTTTCAGCTCCTTCCCCTCGATGGTTCACGGTGTCGTTCAGCTCCTTCCCCTCGATGGTTCACGGTGTCATTCAGCTCCTTCCCCTCGATGGTTCACGGTGTCGTTCAGCTCCTTCCCCTCGATGGTTCACGGTGTCGTTCAGCTCCTTCCCCTCGATGGTTCACGGTGTCGTACAGCTCCTCCCCCTCCCCTCGATGGTTCACGGTGTCGTTCAGCTCCTTCCCCTCGATGGTTCACGGTGTCGTTCAGCTCCTCCCCTCGATGGTTCACGGTGTCGTTCAGCTCCTGCCCCTCGATGGTTCACAGTGTCGTACAGGTCTTTCCCCTCGATGGTTCACGGTGTCGTTCAGCTCCTTCACCTCGATGGTTCACGGTGTCATACAGCTCCTTCCCCTCCCCTCGATGGTTCACAGTGTCGTACAGCTCCTCCCCCTCGATGGTTCACGGTGTCGTACAGCTCCTCCCCTCGATGGTTCACGGTGTCGTTCAGCTCCTTCCCCTCGATGGTTCACGGTGTCATTCAGCTCCTCCCCTCGATGGTTCACGGTGTCCTTCAGCTCCTTCCCCTCGATGGTTCACGGTGTCGTTCAGCTCCTTCCCCTCAATGGTTCACGGTGTCGTTCAGCTCCTTCCCCTCGATGGTTCACGGTGTCGTTCAGCTCCTTCCCCTCGATGGTTCACGGTGTCATTCAGCTCCTTCCCCTCGATGGTTCACGGTGTCGTTCAGCTCCTTCCCCTCGATGGTTCACAGTGTCGTACAGCTCCTTCCCCTCGATGGTTCACGGTGTCGTACAGATCCTTCCCCTCGATGGTTCACAGTGTCGTTCAGCTCCTTCCCCTCGATGGTTCACGGTGTCGTTCAGCTCCTTCCCCTCGATGGTTCACGGTGTCTTTCAGCTCCTTCCCCTCGATGGTTCACGGTGTCGTTCAGCTCCTTCCCCTCGATGGTTCACGGTGTCATTCAGCTCCTTCCCCTCGATGGTTCACGGTGTCGTTCAGCTCCTTCCCCTCGATGGTTCACGGTGTCGTTCAGCTCCTTCCCCTCGATGGTTCACGGTGTCGTTCAGCTCCTTCCCCTCGATGGTTCACGGTGTCGTTCAGCTCCTTCCCCTCGATGGTTCACGGTGTCGTTCAGCTCCTTCCCCTCGATGGTTCACGGTGTCGTTCAGCTCCTTCCCCTCGATGGTTCACGGTGTCATTCAGCTCCTTCCCCTCGATGGTTCACGGTGTCGTTCAGCTCCTTCCCCTCGATGGTTCACGGTGTCATTCAGCTCCTTCCCCTCGATGGTTCACGGTGTCGTTCAGCTCCTTCCCCTCGATGGTTCACGGTATCATTCAGCTCCTTCCCCTCGATGGTTCACGGTGTCATTCAGCTCCTCCCCTCGATGGTTCACGGTGTCGTTCAGCTCCTTCCCCTCGATGGTTCACGGTGTCGTTCAGCTCCTTCCCCTCGATGGTTCACGGTGTCATTCAGCTCCTCCCCTCGATGGTTCACGGTGTCGTTCAGCTCCTTCCCCTCGATGGTTCACGGTGTCGTTCAGCTCCTTCCCCTCAATGGTTCACGGTGTCGTTCAGCTCCTTCCCCTCGATGGTTCACGGTGTCGTTCAGCTCCTTCCCCTCGATGGTTCACGGTGTCATTCAGCTCCTTCCCCTCGATGGTTCACGGTGTCGTTCAGATCCTTCCCCTCGATGGTTCACAGTGTCGTACAGCTCCTTCCCCTCGATGGTTCACGGTGTCGTACAGATCCTTCCCCTCGATGGTTCACAGTGTCGTTCAGCTCCTTCCCCTCGATGGTTCACGGTGTCGTTCAGCTCCTTCCCCTCGATGGTTCACGGTGTCTTTCAGCTCCTTCCCCTCGATGGTTCACGGTGTCGTTCAGCTCCTTCCCCTCAATGGTTCACGGTGGCATTCAGCTCCTTCCCCTCGATGGTTCACGGTGTCGTTCAGCTCCTTCCCTCGATGGTTCACGGTATCATTCAGCTCCTTCCCCTCGATGGTTCACGGTGTCATTCAGCTCCTCCCCTCGATGGTTCACGGTGTCGTTCAGCTCCTTCCCCTCGATGGTTCACGGTGTCGTTCAGCTCCTTCCCCTCGATGGTTCACGGTGTCGCTCAGCTCCTTCCCCTCGATGGTTCACGGTGTCGTACAGCTCCTTCCCCTCGATGGTTCACGGTGTCGTTCAGCTCCTTCCCCTCGATGGTTCACGGTGTCGTACAGCTCCTCCCCCTCCCCTCAATGGTTCACGGTGTCGTTCAGCTCCTTCCCCTCGATGGTTCACGGTGTCGTTCAGCTCCTCCCCTCGATGGTTCACGGTGTCATTCAGCTCCTTCCCCTCGATGGTTCACGGTGTCGTTCAGCTCCTTCCCCTCGATGGTTCACGGTGTCATTCAGCTCCTTCCCCTCGATGGTTCACGGTGTCGTTCAGCTCCTTCCCCTCGATGGTTCACGGTATCATTCAGCTCCTTCCCCTCGATGGTTCACGGTGTCATTCAGCTCCTCCCCTCGATGGTTCACGGTGTCGTTCAGCTCCTTCCCCTCGATGGTTCACGGTATCATTCAGCTCCTTCCCCTCGATGGTTCACGGTGTCATTCAGCTCCTCCCCTCGATGGTTCACGGTGTCGTTCAGCTCCTTCCCCTCGATGGTTCACGGTGTCGTTCAGCTCCTTCCCCTCGATGGTTCACGGTGTCATTCAGCTCCTCCCCTCGATGGTTCACGGTGTCGTTCAGCTCCTTCCCCTCGATGGTTCACGGTGTCGTTCAGCTCCTTCCCCTCAATGGTTCACGGTGTCGTTCAGCTCCTTCCCCTCGATGGTTCACGGTGTCGTTCAGCTCCTTCCCCTCGATGGTTCACGGTGTCATTCAGCTCCTTCCCCTCGATGGTTCACGGTGTCGTTCAGCTCCTTCCCCTCGATGGTTCACAGTGTCGTACAGCTCCTTCCCCTCGATGGTTCACGGTGTCGTACAGATCCTTCCCCTCGATGGTTCACAGTGTCGTTCAGCTCCTTCCCCTCGATGGTTCACGGTGTCGTTCAGCTCCTTCCCCTTGATGGTTCACGGTGTCTTTCAGCTCCTTCCCCTCGATGGTTCACGGTGTCGTTCAGCTCCTTCCCCTCGATGGTTCACGGTGTCATTCAGCTCCTTCCCCTCGATGGTTCACGGTGTCGTTCAGCTCCTTCCCCTCGATGGTTCACGGTGTCGTTCAGCTCCTTCCCCTCGATGGTTCACGGTGTCGTACAGCTCCTCCCCCTCCCCTCGATGGTTCACGGTGTCGTTCAGCTCCTTCCCCTCGATGGTTCACGGTGTCGTTCAGCTCCTCCCCTCGATGGTTCACGGTGTCGTTCAGCTCCTGCCCCTCGATGGTTCACAGTGTCGTACAGGTCTTTCCCCTCGATGGTTCACGGTGTCGTTCAGCTCCTTCACCTCGATGGTTCACGGTGTCATACAGCTCCTTCCCCTCCCCTCGATGGTTCACAGTGTCGTACAGCTCCTCCCCCTCGATGGTTCACGGTGTCGTACAGCTCCTCCCCTCGATGGTTCACGGTGTCGTTCAGCTCCTTCCCCTCGATGGTTCACGGTGTCATTCAGCTCCTCCCCTCGATGGTTCACGGTGTCCTTCAGCTCCTTCCCCTCGATGGTTCACGGTGTCGTTCAGCTCCTTCCCCTCAATGGTTCACGGTGTCGTTCAGCTCCTTCCCCTCGATGGTTCACGGTGTCGTTCAGCTCCTTCCCCTCGATGGTTCACGGTGTCATTCAGCTCCTTCCCCTCGATGGTTCACGGTGTCGTTCAGCTCCTTCCCCTCGATGGTTCACAGTGTCGTACAGCTCCTTCCCCTCGATGGTTCACGGTGTCGTACAGATCCTTCCCCTCGATGGTTCACAGTGTCGTTCAGCTCCTTCCCCTCGATGGTTCACGGTGTCGTTCAGCTCCTTCCCCTCGATGGTTCACGGTGTCTTTCAGCTCCTTCCCCTCGATGGTTCACGGTGTCGTTCAGCTCCTTCCCCTCGATGGTTCACGGTGTCATTCAGCTCCTTCCCCTCGATGGTTCACGGTGTCGTTCAGCTCCTTCCCCTCGATGGTTCACGGTGTCGTTCAGCTCCTTCCCCTCGATGGTTCACGGTGTCGTACAGCTCCTCCCCCTCCCCTCGATGGTTCACGGTGTCGTTCAGCTCCTTCCCCTCGATGGTTCACGGTGTCGTTCAGCTCCTCCCCTCGATGGTTCACGGTGTCGTTCAGCTCCTGCCCCTCGATGGTTCACAGTGTCGTACAGGTCTTTCCCCTCGATGGTTCACGGTGTCGTTCAGCTCCTTCACCTCGATGGTTCACGGTGTCGTACAGCTCCTTCCCCTCCCCTCGATGGTTCACAGTGTCGTACAGCTCCTCCCCCTCGATGGTTCACGGTGTCGTACAGCTCCTCCCCTCGATGGTTCACGTTGTCGTACAGCTCCTTCCCCTCGATGGTTCACGGTGTCGTACAGCTCCTTCCCCTCGATGGTTCACGGTGTCGTACAGCTCCTTCCCCTCGATGGTTCACAGTGTCGTTCAGCTCCTTCCCCTCCCCTCGATGGTTCACGGTGTCGTATAGCTCCTTCCCCTCGATGGTTCACGGTGTCGTTCAGCTCCTTCCCCTCCCCTCGATGGTTCACGGTGTCGTACAGCTCCTTCCCCTCCCCTCGATGGTTCACGGTGTCGTACAGCTCCTTCACCTCGATGGTTCACGGTGTCGTTCATCTCCTTCCCCTCGATGGTTCACGGTGTCGTACAGCTCCTTCCCCTTCCCCTCGATGGTTCACGGTGTCGTACAGCTCCTTCCCCTCCCCTTGATGGTTCACGGTGTCGTTCAGCTCCTTCCCCTCGATGGTTCACGGTGTCATTCAGCTCCTTCCCCCCGATGGTTCACGGTGTCGTACAGCTCCTCCCCTCGATGGTTCACGGTGTGGTTGTTCTCCTGGTCTCAGATCCCCCAGAGCGTCTGAGTCTTTCCTTTACAGGAGTCCAGCACAATCAGGTTTTGGATCTGAGTCTCTGAGCTCCGTGTGGACTTATAAAGACTTGGAGATCTTTCAAAGTGATAATGAGCCAATAAAAAGCCACTTGAGGCGTACGTCTGTGTCAGAGGGAGGACATCTGGTTTAAAATACTCTTTATAGTGTTTACAACAAGAGACCTGACACAATGTGTGATGGCATGGACCATAAGTTTAAGATTAGCGGGACTGATAGAATCTCTCTGGTCTCTCTCTGGTCTCTCTCTGGTCTTTCTCTGGTTTCTCGCTGGACTCTCTCTGGTCTCTCTCTGGTCTCAAACAGGGCTTGAAGCAGGACTAGTTCAGGGCCGAAAAGGGGGTAGCTCTGTCTCTCTCTCTGGTCTCTCTCTGGTCTTTCTCTGGTCTCTCTCTGGTCTCTAGCTACAATCTTCACCATGTTTGCGTTTTTTTGTCTTTATTATGCTAAAGCTGTAGATTTGATATTATTTTACTATAGAGTTATTATTCTTTTATCTCCTCAGTCCTTCTGTTCTGTAACTGGTCGTGCAACACTGACATTTCACTGTGGGACAAATAAACGATCTCTTAATCTTGATCTTAATCTCAATCCTCTCTCAGCTGCAGACTGTGACGCTGCAGGATGAACCTGTGACCGGCTGCATTTGCGTCGGCCTCTCACATAATGACGTTAATGATTTTCTCAGTCCATAAAGTCAGTACACAGAGGCTGCAGTAAAACCACAGTATCTCTCTTTATTATGAGCTGTATCTTTGTGGGTCAGAGCAACACAAGCAGAAACACAAACACATTCTTTTACAACATGATTAAGACCCATTCATGAACTCGCTGAACATACAGAAGGAGGTGTCCATACTTATGAACAGCCAGGGGCCAGAGAGGGTCCGGTTCGGGGACCACAGGATCTCTGCTGTTTGCAGACGATGTTGTCCTGTTGGCTCCAATGAACCAGGACCTGCAACATGCACTGGGAGGTCCCACTGAGAGGAGACCCCAGGGAAGACCCAGGACAAGCTGGAGGACCAAGGGCCCGTCCCAATTCTGAGGCACTCAAGTTGTGAGTGCCCTCAACGGAAGAGTGCCCTCCCATAGGGAAGTGCACTTGCAGAATTTTCTCCCTAAGAAATGGACAGAGACAGACACACACGTACAAACAGTACACGGCACACAGAGACAGACACACACGTACATACAGTACACGGCACACAGAGACAGACACACACGTACATATACGGCACACAGAGACACACACGTACATACACGACACACAGAGACAGACACACACTTACATACACGACACACAGAGACAGACACACACGTACATACACGACACACAGAGACAGACACACACGTACATACACGGCACACAGAGACAGACACACACGTACATACACGACACACAGAGACAGACACACACGTACATACACGGCACACAGAGACAGACACACACGTACATACACGACACACAGAGACAGACACACACGTACATACACAACACACAGAGACAGACACAAACGTACATACACGACACACAGAGACAGACACAAACGTACATACACGACACACAGAGACAGACACACACGTACATACACGACACACAGAGACGGACACACACGTACATACACGACACACAGAGACAGACACACACGTACATACACGACACACAGAGACAGACACACACGTACATACACGGCACACAGAGACAGACACACACGTACACACACACACACAGAGACAGACGAGTACAGCCGCGGATCACAAAGTTCCTGTCAAAGCGATGCAATCTCTCAACTACATCATTGATCTATAATAATAACATGGATCTATAATAATAACATGGATCTATAATAATAACATATGGATCTATAATCATAACATTGATCTATAATAATAACATGGATCTATAATAATAACATATGGATCTATAATCATAACATTGATCTATAATAATAACATGGATCTATAATAATAACATGGATCTATGATAATAACATATGGATCTATGATAATAACATGGATCTATGATAATAACATGGATCTATAATAATAACATGGATCTATGATAATAACATGGATCTATGATAATAACATGGATCTATAATAATAACATATGGATCTATAATAATAACATATGGATCTATAATAATAATAACATGGACCTTTTAACAGTCCTTAAAAAACCTCTGAATGACTCGCCCACACCTTGAAGCTTCCTCGCGTTCTGCAGAAACTTGCGCCCGGTTATTTCATACATCTTGTTTTCTTTGATTGTGGTGCGGCTTTGCCCGACAGCTACTTTACAAACTATCCTAATGCATCATGGGATCACCTTTGAAGCGCCGGAGCTCATTTGCGCTCAAGGGTGGTTTTTAAGTCTTCTCCCTAAGTATTGGGAGGTTAAGTGATCACCAGTGTCTCTGGTCTCTCTCTCTGGTCTCTCTCTGGTCTCACTCTCTGGTCTCACTCTCTGGTCTATCTCTGGTCTCACTCTCTGGTCTCACTCTCTGGTCTCTCTCTGGTCTCACTCTCTGGTCTATCTCTCTGGTCTTGCTCTCTGGTCTCTCTCTGGTCTCTCTCTGGTCTCTCTCTGGTCTCTCTCTCTGGTCTCTCTCTCTGGTCTCTCTCTCTGGTCTCTCTCTCTGGTCTCTCTCTGGTCTCACTCTCTGGTCTCTCTCTGGTCTCTCTCTCTGGTCCCTCTCTCTGGTCTCTCTCTCTGGTCTCTCTCTCTGGTCTCTTTCTCTGGTCTCACTCTCTGGTCTCTCTCTCTGGTCTCACTCTCTGGTCTCTCTCTGGTCTCACTCTCTGGTCTATCTCTCTGGTCTCTCTCTCTGGTCTCTCTCTGGTCTCTCTCTGGTCTCTCTCTGGTCTCTCTCTCTGGTCTCTCTCTCTGGTCTCTCTCTCTGGTCTCTCTCTCTGGTCTCTCTCTGGTCTCACTCTCTGGTCTCTCTCTGGTCTCTCTCTCTGGTCCCTCTCTCTGGTCTCTCTCTCTGGTCTCTTTCTCTGGTCTCACTCTCTGGTCTCTCTCTCTGGTCTCACTCTCTGGTCTCTCTCTGGTCTCTCTCTCTGGTCTCACTCTCTGGTCTCTCTCTGGTCTCACTCTCTGGTCTCACTCTCTGGTCTCACTCTCTGGTCTCTCTCTGGTCTCTCTCTCTGGTCTCTCTCTCTGGTCTCTCTCTCTGGTCTCTCTCTCTGGTCTCTCTCTGGTCTCACTCTCTGGTCTCTCTCTGGTCTCTCTCTGGTCTCTCTCTGGTCTCTCTCTGGTCTCTCTCTCTGGTCTCACTCTCTGGTCTCTCTCTCTCTGGTCTCACTCTCTGGTCTCTCTCTGGTCTCTCTCTGGTCTCTCTCTCTGGTCTCACTCTCTGGTCTCTCTCTCTGGTCTCTCTCTGGTCTCACTCTCTGGTCTCTCTCTGGTCTCACTCTGGTCTCTCTCTGGTCTCTCTCTGGTCTCACTCTCTGGTCTCACTCTCTGGTCTGGTCTCTCTCTCTGGTCTCTCTCTGGTCTCTCTCTCTGGTCTCTCTCTCTGGTCTCTCTCTCTGGTCTCACTCTCTGGTCTCTCTCTCTCTGGTCTCTCTCTGGTCTCTCTCTCTGGTCTCTCTCTCTGGTCTCTCTCTCTCTGGTCTCACTCTCTGGTCACTCTCTGGTCTTTCTCTGGTCTCTCTCTGGTCTCTCTCTCTGGTCTCACTCTCTGGTCTCTCTCTCTGGTCTCACTCTCTGGTCTCTCTCTCTCTGGTCTCTCTCTGGTCTCTCTCTCTGGTCTCACTCTCTGGTCTCTCTCTCTCTGGTCTCACTCTCTGGTCACTCTCTGGTCTTTCTCTGGTCTCTCTCTGGTCTCTCTCTCTGGTCTCACTCTCTGGTCTCTCTCTCTCTGGTCTCACTCTCTGGTCACTCTCTGGTCTTTCTCTGGTCTCTCTCTGGTCTCTCTCTCTGGTCTCACTCTCTGGTCACTCTCTGGTCTCTCTCTGACCTCTCTCTCTGAAACAATACCAAACAATACAATTTATTCTTGTATAGCCCTAAATCACAACAGCAGTGATCAGAGGACTTAATAAAACCATTCGATCACTCTCTGGTCTCTTTCTGGTCTCTCTCTCTGGTCTCTCTCTCTGTTCTCTCTTTCTGGTCTCTCTGGTCTCTCTTTCTGGTCTTTCTCTGTTCTCTCTTTCTGGTCTTTCTCTCTGGTCTTTCTCTCTGGTCTCTCCATAATCTCTCCTCATCTGTGTTTGATCTACAGTATAACTTCTTCTCATCCTCATCTAGTATACATAAATAGTATTTGCAGTGAGACCTCTCTGTTATATTTAGATCTCGTCCTCAATGTCACTCTTCATTTATTCCATTCTCGATCCTTTGAACAAATGACAGGTCTGTGTTTTGTTTTCAGATTACGCTGCTCGGCTGAGAACGAGAACGATGTGAGTTTAAATAGACCCCATTGAGGGATGAGCTGTTCTGTACATGTGCGATATAAATAAACTTCATCATTCAAAGGGATAATTGTGCGCGGCCTCTGCTCTGATGGACGGACTGTAATCTGGGCCGAAGAGGACGGAGGGATTTTAACTCTGAAGAACTCTTAAAGAAGCGTCCTTTGCTTTTTCAATTGGATTCATTTTCAAAGGTTTTGACACTGAACAGATCATTTAAAATTATTATTAAGGCAAGGCAAGGCAAGTTTATTTGTATAGCACAATTCATACACAAGGCAACTCAAAGTGCTGAACAAAAGAGCATTAAAATCATAAATAGTTACAGAACATTAAGATAAAAATATAAAATCCCTCAGTTGTAGCACAGCTAAACAGAACTGTCTTTAACCT